GCCAATATACCTTAATCTAATATCTGTACATTGTAACATCCGGTTTCTTCTTACAAAATAAAGTCGAGAAGATTTGTTTAATACCTTGGAGGCGTTTTTTTTTTTTTAATAAAACAATTATTCCACTCGCGCTTGTTGGATATGAGATGATTATAGCCAACTTGGCGCTACGGCCTCGTTGGCCATCTATCATCTCATATCCAACGCGTGCTCGTGGAATGATTGTTAATTACTCCATAAACCCATTTCTTGATGAAACGATGTTTGAACGGGCAGAATGTACCCTCTCTAATGAAATGGCAGCGAGATTCAGAAGAGAAGCAAAAGAGAAGTGCTGAAATGTGTTCTGCACTAGTAGAGAGCTAGCTCTGTTAATCTCCCAGGGGTCACAGTGACGCCCTAACCAGTAAGTAAACGAAGGACCTGAGACTGTGACGACTAAGAGATCGACTGTCGCCAGATGCCAGATGGATGATCAAGTATGTACTTCGGCGCCGTAGCTGAAGCTTCTTCACGAATACGATAATGGTGATGACATTAAGGATGAATATAGCCAGGCATTCGCCGATAAACACAGAAACCCATGAAATGAACTCGGATTCAAGAAATGGCAAGCCGCTCTTATTGCTCGTGTCAAATCGCCAAAGGATCTAAATCAGAACAAAACAGGTACTAATAATATGATTATGGAATAAAAGTTCTTTCTAAATACGCAAGTAGTTTCATAGAAATTTAAATTGTCTTCCATAGGTTCAATCGATAACGGCAAACTAATCTTGCTCAAGGTGACTTCAAAATTGATTCATAGAGAGCATAAAACTTTAATTCAATTGGTTTTCGTCTAATGTATCTTGAAAATGGCATGAAAAGTAAAACACGATCACAAACTTTAAACTTCTTTTTACATAATGTAAAAAGCGATGATGTTCGTTTGTAAAGATTGAGAAACAGTCAAACCAAGGCGATTACCCAGGACACGAACAAGTTTCTCGCCGCAGGAAAGTATCTCAGATTTATTAAATGATCGATCTCGTTACGATAAAAAGCTTGTATAACACTCTCAGGCTAAAGAAGTTACCTTGAATGCAGAACTAGATGAAGTGAATAAATGGATTCTCAGTCATTTTCTTTTTATCAAAAAAAAAAAAAAAAGAATTTGTAATTTTTGGAACTGATGCTAGGCTTTCTAAAGTTACTGACACGGTAGTTGTCAAAATAGGTGATTATGAAATAAATAGAGTTTATGATTTTAAGTATTTAGGCATCGTTCTTTACGATAGTGTTACGTGGATAGACCATGTTCGTTATGTTATTTCTAAGGTTTGTTAAAGAGTTGGTGCCTTAGGGCGCCTTAGAAGGAATATCACTATACATCCAGCTCTTGAGATGTATAATTCATTAATTTTTCCCATTTTTGATTATTGCCATGTTGTTTGGTCCAGCTGCGATAAAGCAGATATAGAAAGTCTTGAATCTTTGCAAAGGCGGGCCTCGAAAATTATATTTAAATCTAACTGGGGTACAACATCCACCGACTATCTTAATTTTCAGAGTTTAGAAGATCGCCGTATCGCTCATATTTTAGGCTTTTTGAAGAGGTGTTTAAATAATAGTGTACCACAGTTTTTAAAAAATTATTTTAAGTTGAATAAGGAAGTCATTTCAAGAGAAACAAGAAGAAGCAATTTTATATACTTACCTTCAGTAAGAACTGAGACCGCCAAGAAAAGTTTTTATTATAATGGCTCAGTTGTGTATAATAATTATTTATTAAATAAGAATCAGTTTTAATTGTTATACTGTACTATTTTAACTTAATTACTTAGTTTCTTATTACTTATTTTTAAAAGTTTTTGTTAGTTTTTATTTCAGGGCTCCTATTGATAACAGATATAACTTTAAGTATTCTGAAGGGATTACCCTAGTTAAATAAAGGTTTACTATCTGATCTCAAAAGTGCTCGACAGGCGGACCTAATCCTTTGACTTCCAGAGAGGAATTTTAGGAAGAAGCTCACTCAATAGTCACATATAGCTTTCTTAATAGTTGTGGTCAAAATAAGTTTTGAGGAATTAGTAATTTGCATCTCACACAGCTGGTCAGCTTGACTGGAGAGAGATTCGGCTTCAAAGGGTGTTTCTTTCTTTCTCTCGTTCTGATTTTGCCTTGTGGATTGAAATCAAACTGAGAATTGGATAACCGATCACAGGCAATTAAGTGTACTTAACATGTTCAGCATTCTCCAGTGTTCTTTGACGGTGACAGTTTTAAATGATTATCATGACTAGTCATTGTTGTTTCGCTTTTGTTTCGTGCAGACGTCATTTCAAACAGTGGTTTTCGTGAGGAGGCCTCATATTAAAATAATCATCGCGTAATTGCTGAAAGAGGTGTCAGACTGGCACTCTAATGGACATCTCTCTGTTAATATGTTCGTGTATTAGTTTAGTTTATTGCCAAAAAATTAAAATTCTTTTCAGCCATAGGCTGAATTGCATACTTTTCACAATTATGTATAAATATATAAATGAGACTATATAAAATTGCAAAATTTACAAAAAATCCTAAGACCTAAGATATTTACAATTATACAGCAATGGAATAAAACGCAGTCGATGCGAACACCCTAGATTAGCCCTCGCGCACATAGCCGGAATGAATGAAGACTTGAAACGATCAGTGCGGAAGCGCGGCATGTTAAAAACGCGCTGCCGTCTTGTGTCGTGCGCTAATAGTGAGTAGCAAAGCTTTTTCGCATCCTGCGAAAACGCTAGTTAAGAAAAGTTTTTCGCAAAGTAATCGGTGAGTGGAGAATTGAGAACCTACTGAAGGCTGTACCACTTGGTGCGTTTGTTTCGTTGCATGCAAACCACCTCGAAGACGTCAGTTTCGTGGGAGAGGCTCTTGCTAACGATTACGTTTACGGGAGCGGCCAATGGAACCTTGATCTCACTCCCTTTCCCTAAAATACTTAAGTCAGCGCTGTAAAAAAAGACGAATATTTTGAAAAAGCGCTCAACATAGTATTTTTCGTTTTGGTGTTGAAAAAGCTCAAGTCATAGAGTTAGAAGTCCACTTTTTACAATCGAGCTTGAAGTGATGCTCGTAAAATTAAGATGTTAGCAGCTGGCCCCCCTATCAGCTGAGGATTCCTCGCCAAACGTTCACTAGCTACAACTTTTCAATAAAAAATGACAAATAAAATTCCAAGTCCTATTCTGACGAATGTTTGTAGTACATCGTTTAGTGTTTGCTTCTCTTGTAGATCACATTACACGAGAACCACAGAAGAATCCTGTCCGTGGAAAGACAGCCCCGAAAAAGAAAACAGTACGTGGCTCATTAAAACGATTTTTTGTCGTTTTAAGTGCCATACTCATAAGTTTGCTTTAGATTCCGAAAAGTATGCAATGAGTCTCTAGTACGAGACGAAAAGCCGCGTCATACTAGCTACAACATATTTATCTCACCATTATTTGACAATTTTTAATCGTATTGATTAAGAATTGACATTGTTGATGATGCCAATGACGATTACTTTAATTTATCGTTTTCCTAATAACTCTACCTGTCAAAACGCTATTAGCGGATGTTGTTTTGTAAATATGAGATCTCATGGGCATCTAGCCGGACGGTTTCGACAATTTATAACGGAACAAAAAGGTGCGTAAAACTGCCGGCTAACAGGCTCTACACCAACAGTAATAAAATACCTCTCCACCGGCTCCTGCACTCACTTATGTTGATCCGCTGCCTTTATAATCTGTCAGATCCCTAAGAGAATGGTTATGGAGACTATCGTGAGTTAGAGCTTTACCTCATGAAACACAATTAATTGGGACAAGAGTACTGATTGTACTAATTTTTGTACTAAACTGATCCCTTTGTTTAAACAACCAGACGGGAAAGTTCCTCAATAGATTACAAATTGTCGTAACCGAAAAAGGACAAGTTTAAGTCTTAAACAATGAACACATGCTAAAACAATTAAAGCAACGAGGCTGATTCTATACGAAGAAAGAAAGTCTTGGAAATGTTGTTCGTCTGGATATGCTTAACTCAAAACAGCGCCAGCTTGGTTTGATTGAACAAGGATCACCTGAACAATCAACCTTGTCTTACAACTTTGCTATTGACAACAACTTTGCAAGGACTGATTTGAATACATTTTAAGCAAAGCCGTAGTTAGTAAAGGGAAGTGAACATGCTTCTTTTTTCTGGACCAGGCAGTGCTCAATGTTCGTTAGTATGCCAATCATTCTGAACTGACTAAAATTAAGAGACTTCGCATAAATTTATTTAATTCTAAACGCATGAACATCACCATTGCTTGGTTCTTTGAATCTCTTTAAAATATTGTATCGCAATTTTTTATCATCAAATGTTTTTCTAAATCGCTCCTTCTTCGTCTAATTAAGAATTTCTCGAGATTGATTCTAAGTTCCTAGTTGATTTCGCGAATTCCAAAGAAAAAATTTTCGCTTCATTCCAAGCTCTCCGCATCCCTCACATGTGCATTTAGTGTTAAGTTTAATTATCATATGTTCTTACTCCTCAGCGCCTGCAATCCCATAGAAAATGTGAAAGCCGACATTTCTAGGACCGGACGGATTAGATTTAGCCGGTCCGGAAAAAGCCATCTGGCCCTGTAATAACATGTTTTCCGTGGATAAGACTTCGCGATGAATTAGATGGACGAGTTTCTTGTTGTAACCCGAAGAAAAAAAATTGAAGTTTTTAATGTAGAATCTGTTTAGTATTTTTCCAGTGCGCGCACGTCTTTTCTTTGCTAATACGTCCTACTTACGTTCAAACAAAAGTTTCGAAATTTTTGTTATTTGGTGTTCATCTGATGAAATGCTTGTTGACTGAGTTGGAGGGCCGGAGGGGAAAATTTTTAAGTATTCACGCAAGTCTATTTCGAGAAAAACGTTTGAAAGATTTTATTTCCAATTTTGTATTCTCGTGAGGAAACTACAATGTCTTACTTCTAACAGATAATTACAAAAATTATGAACATGTAGTATAACACTGAGGGACACAGTTGCAATATATCATGATTATGCCACTCAACCTTAGGGTAAAAAACCTTTGAGCTGCTGTGAATCTGAAGTTACTTTTAAATGTTAAAACCCTGTTTTAAAATCAACTTTGAAAACAAGTGAATTGCGCTTCTCCTCCCCTTTCACACGAATTTGATTAAATTTCTAGCTGGTATGTTTGACGACTGTCACCAGCCATTGGCTTGATATTGTACGGAGAAGTTAGATATTAATCAGCGAGAAATCAATAGACTAAAGATTTCGCGGTAAATAAGATTTCAGTGGTAAATCCATTACCTTTGAGGGGTTTGGAGTCCTGCGGAAGATAATTTGTTTTATTCCTTGTCTTAACTCGTGCATCCGCATGGCGTATATTATAGGATTTATTAGGGAGTTGGCTAATACTAATACCGCAACTGTATTCTGATAGGCAAAATATGTTTCCCGGGATAGGTGTTCGAATAAGAAGGGATGGAAAGTCCAAATACTCAGATGTATTACCGATGGAAGCCAAGTGATTAAAGATGAAAGAGTAACAATAAATAATGTATTCGTAAGTTTTCTTTCCCTCACACCTACTGCGCCATGATATTGGGGATGACGACTCAAGCGCATTTTGATAAAAATAGAAATGTAAGAAACAGAAATTGCAGTGAGAAGAAAGCCGGCACTGAAATCATTGATTAAATCACCTCCTACGGCTAACGTGGCGACCGTGGATGTTAACCAAGTTACAGTAATTAAAACTCCATAAAACCATTTCTTAATCAATCTATGTTTGAATGGACAAAATGTCGCATGCATCCGCTCTAATGAGATGGCAGTAAGATTTACGAGAGACGAGTTTAGGGGAATTTGTTTTGATACTTGTTGGAGAACTACCATGTGGTCATACTTCCACAGATTACAGAAACTCCCTATCATGTACATAATTAGAGGCCCTGAGACTGCCCCTACTAAGAAATCGACCATCGATAGATGAATAATTAAGTATGTACTTCGGCGCCTCAACTGGTGCTTCTTCGCAAAGACGATAATAGTAATGATATTAAGGATGACCATGGCTAGACATTCAATAGCAATCCCAACAAACCACGGTATACATTTGGACGTAGAAAGGGAAAACTGGGTCCCATGTCTTGCGTCATTATAACTGCTGTTGGTGGTGTTGTTAGCCATTGATTTCCCGCCGTAATTGTAACTCACCAAATGATCTAATTCAGGAAAAAAATAATCAGCATTAACATTGAATAGTATATCACTTTACATATTCAGGTATTATTGTCTGAATAAATAATCTTTTAATTTTTTTGGGATGTTTTTACCAGAAATTTAGCAACTGATTCATGCTCAGAGCAAGAGAGAAACATAAGAATTGCTTGAGGTTAAGCCGAGGGCCAAAATTCCCAGTTGCATCCATATTTCGATACACGCACAGCTTAAAGCATGAATCAATTGTTTTATGACAAACGTACAAACTATATGCATATATATGTATATATTTTTGAAAAAAAGGATGTATGACACTAGGTATTCCAAACTGTAATCAGACATACTTGTTTAAATAGCGAAAAAAAAAAAAGCGAAAGAATTTCTACATAAATTTTCCATGCGATTTTAGTTAGAGTGGTGATAAGATTTTAGAAAGTTAAAATTTTAGCGAGACTGAACCTTGAAGTCAGATTGACCATCTTCTTTTCCACGTCCGGAAGGTGATACGATAAAAGAATAGAGAAAATGAGAGAATAGCTTAATTTGAAAGAGTTAAAGTCCTTAATTGATCTTATGGACCGTGTTTGGTAAATAAACGCTTTAAACAAGTAAGTCAATATCAATTTGAATAGACTTGCGGTTATCACACATTTCGGTTATCAGCTTGTTATTGTCCATCTGGTTGAAACTTAAATTCAGGAACATTTTCGATCGGAAATTAGAATTGTCAGTTTGGGGAAATTAAAAATGTCTTGCTTGTGATGTGCGTGTTGACAAGCTCAAGAAAGACACAGATAATTACAACTGATGTACTCAACAAAGGACTTTCGAGTATCGTGCAGTTTTGTGGCGTTTGATAATTACAAATTGCGGGAAAATGAGAATTTACCGCCTTCATTGTCTTCCATCACCCATAAAGAACTAAGATTTCAGAGACTCAGTGTGGGATTTTTGCATAGAAATTAAAAAACTATGCGTTTGGGAGGGGCTAAATTGTCCGATCTAAATAGAGAATGAAGGGAAAATATGTAAAGTGACTGTTTTACACAAACGAAAGATTATATAATCTCTTGACATACATAGATACTAAAATATGAAACAAATCACTTTTGCCTTTTATTTTCAAATGCTATCATAATATTTACCTTGGATAAAAGGCAACTCTCCGGATGGATTTAGACTCAACTAATCTGGGTTTTGGGCAGAAAAATTCAATCCTCCAATATCGGCTCAATTAGTTAATAAATATGGAAGTCTACGATCAGGCCAAGTTGCTCTGCAATAATTAATAAGCCTTCATGAAAGTTATTTTATCTATTCCTCTGAGTTTCAACTTACCCCGATACTTAAAATTGCTATTAACATACCTTAACGGTAATGACCGTCCTTCTTATAAATTGATGTTCACAAGCACAGTTCATAGCTTGGATGGAGTGACAATCTTCAACTCGGCAAGGATCATATGAATATGACACATCAAGTACCAATAACTTCCTTTTATAGGCTGAATTGAATGAATTATCCAGCGCAGCTGAACAGGAACGACAGATAGTTGAGTCACGGATATGGAATCATGTCACCAAACCGGAATATAACTGAGTCTTTTTCATGAGTACATATTGAAATTTAAATAACAGAGCACGTATAGAAGTTTTGCACAGCAGCCATGTTGGATGGCAGGAACAATGAAAATATTTTTGATAAGAAAGAATTTTTTTTCCCATGGGTAAAATAATCTAGTGTTCCTGCCATCCAACATGGCTGCTGTGCGAAAGCTGTATAGAGTATGCACAATCAACCTCTCACGCCATCAGTGTGTTGATCCGCGTATTATTGTTTTATTTTGCACATATGCTCTTTAAGCGGTCCTTAACTCCCGACCGGAAGAAGCCAGTTTTCAATCGTTTAGTATCGGTTCAATCAGTTAGGTGATCTGGAACAGTAGGCCAGTATAGGTATACGCCAAAATTGCTCTGTAATGAATAGTTAACTTGCAATCATTAGAGTGGTTTTGTCTAATTTATCAATGCAACAAAAATATTTGAAAGTAAATGCAACAACAAAAACAAGTTTAAGATCGTAAGATATCATCATTATTAAAAGTTATGTTGAAGGCGGTGGCTGTTTTTAGTATTCGAAAAGTTGATACTCGCAAGGGAAGTTTATAACTTGGAGGGGAAGAAAGTCTTACGCTCGTGACAACTTTGGCATAAGTACCACGTAACGATATAGGTAAATACTGAAAATTGAAGAACAGAGCACGAACACACTATGGAGTTCAAGTAATTGTACAAAGTGCAATTTTGAAAACAGCTTACAATAATTTTTGTTCAGAGTCGATCCGTGAGTTGCCTTGTACATTAATGAGCCGATATTTAACTCGTTGACTTTCTGGAGAAAAAAAAACAAAATCTCCTTACAATGTTAATAGACTGTAAAGCAGACTGGTAATGAGAATTGAGCAAACTATCATCCTGGGGCGGAATACTGGTAGGAGGATCGTGCTACTTTCGTGAGGAGAGCGTGGTCAGGTGGAACTTTAAATTATTCTCACGCAAACTGAGGATTGGATTATCGTTCACGAGAGATTATTTTAATGATGACATCCTGACTCATAGCCACTGAATGTAGTTTCGGTTTTGCTCCGCGCAGACGTCCGTAGTAAACAGTTCTTTCGTGAGAAAAACCTCATTTTAAAATAGTTCCCACGTAATTGCTGAAAAAGATGGGAAGTTGACGCTCTGATGGACTTCTTTWTATATGTTGATATGTTTGTGGATCGCGTCAAATCCATGACGGTTTATTATTAGTTAGGGCAGCAATCTTTCAGATCTCGGAAGTAAAACAGCTAATTAGGTCAACAATTCATGTTTATTAAAATGATAAAGGCTGATAGTTTCGAAAGAAACTGTTTGGGGCTGCGT